TTGAGACCTGCTGCTTGCAACGCCTCCCAAGTTTCGCTTTCTGAGTGCAACAAACAATACTGTTTCGCATCATGAGGCAAATTCCGAATAAAAAGAAGTGCTAAATCTGAAGACGTAATTTTTAAATCAGCCCTAGAAATTCCCACAGGCAACGTCTCTGCTAGCCTTTCATAGTTGTTGACTGCAACTTGAATCATGCGTACCAAGTCCGATACTACGTGAATGCTCTTTGAGTCCACCCTAAACTCTCTACGCAACAATTCTGCTCGAAGGCAAATAGCCTCCGTTCTAGTTCTCAGTGAAAACTCTAAAGCTAACACCCTGATCAGCTCGTATCCACATGAACCAAAAGGCTTTTGTGGAGAATTGTGGACTGCACATCCCGCCTCGAGGGCACGAATGAGTGAATCACTACGATCATGGTCAGCAAATGCCACTTTCAACAGTGCAAACAGTCGACTACTCCTAGCTTGCTGACCCGGCGTCAGAGTTGAATACACTATCTCAGTAGGCCACTTGATACTTTGTTCGATCTCTGTAGCCATCTTGGACGATGCCAGCTGGCACCAAGCTCTCAAAGACTGAACGTATTTAAAAAACCCTGTGATTTCAGTTTCTCGGTTACGCCAAGTGTTAGTACCTGGTACTGGGGGAGCTGGCAACCACTTTTCTGATCGACTTAGTACATCCCTTTCACCACTGACATCCCTACGACGTGCAGTGTCACCAGATGAACCATGTCCACGATCATGTCTGCGTATTGGGCGCCCGATTCGATTGAAAGAACAGTCACCATCCTCAGAATACTGCTGACCAAAAACATCACTAGGACCCTGCATTGGAGCAGTCTGGTTTCTAACTGGATTACCCGCAGCATTCCCAGTCTCAACCTGTTCAAGTCTTCTCTCAAGAGCACCGAAACTCCTACCAATCTGCCCCTGCAAATCACTCCGCAGAGACACCAAGGCTTGAGAAATCTGCAACAACTGCGTTTCAACGTTGGTTTGTCCGTTTGTTCCAGTTTGTCCAGTCTGTCCAGGCGGCGTACTAAGCGACGGAAGACTATCATCAACCGGTACTTCATGCGCTCTCGTCGCGTCTAGACCTGGACCTGCCTGCTGTCGTGCACCTCCATCAGAATTACCCAAACCTGGGGGCTGCAAACCTCCCTCCATTGCTTGAGTTGGACTCATTGGCTCCCTGCTTACGCTTGTGACAAAGGGACCTGGAAGTCTTTCATCGCGTTGCCTTGCATGGTTATTCAACCAGTCTCTCCAAGCATCATCTCTTTGCAAAGGATCATCTCCGCGAAACCTTTCTGTTTCAGGTTCTACACTACGCCTACGCCTCCTAGCGTCTCCGCGTCTACCAGAACCACCAGATCCAGACATTGCAACTACACTACTGCAAGGATACTTGACTACAACGGATGCTGCACGTTGGCAGCTCCGCTACCATGCGGAAAATTCAAACCCAAGTTGGTTCAAAAATCCTTTCTACGTAAATCCCAGGACCTACACCCAGATGCAGTTCCTACAACTTACGCACAGCGAAGTTTACGCAAACGCGGTTCCCACACACAAGCTCTCAGGTTCGGAACAGCTCAACCCCTTTTGGACGCTCTCTCAGAGGTGCGGTAGCAAAAACACGAACCAAAGCAAAACAAACAAGCAAGATGGACTAAACCACGTGACTGTCTCAGACTACTTCTTTGCAGTTTCCTTGGCTTTGAGCCAAAAACAACCACACAGCTTGACTGCAACAATTGTTTAAACGTTCAAGATCCGAAGATCTTTCTCAAAAAACTCTCTTCAACTAACCAGAGATAGTCAACATCGACACTGCGGTCTCTGATGCCCCCTCAGACGACCGGCAACCCATTTTTGTCATCTCACTATGATGACGAGTGCTCGGTCAGTTGTCATCATTGAGGGACATCGGCAACCACCGTCTCGATGTTAACCTGTCAACCAACAAACTCAAAACGACGTGTCGACTATTCACAGTTAGACACACAACTACTAACAAGCAGCCACTCTAAACTCAGTTTAGTCCAAAGTTCAAAGTTCAAATCGGTTCGTCACAGTGCGGAAACTTTCTATGAAAGTTTCCCATAAAAGTAAAGTTCACAGAACGCAACTTTCGCTGAAACATTCTGTGGGTTTCTGGAAACTCCATTCCAGGTTCTTTGAATTCATAAACACTTTCTATGCATACGATTCCACTTGCATTCAAATGTTCACATTCTTGAATTACTTCAAATGCACTCATGCATTCAAACGTCCTCAATTCAGATTGATTCCAAATGCATGCAAACGTTCTCAGCTCAATCCTGAACTCCTCAATGTCATCAAGACATGTCCGAAAAGTGCTCCAGGCTTCGCATCTATTTACAAATATTCATGGTTACCATAAAACAGATCCCAACAGATACCAGTCTCACCGCATCCACGAATGTTATATCAATGCAATATCCAAACACAATTCTGAACACTAAGATGACACTACCTCAATTGGTCGGGCCAATTGATGTAGTCTCACCCGAGCATTCTTCCGGTGACCAGAGTCACGAATTCCAAATTGCTTCCTCAAAGAATGCCAGCATTGAATTCTCCAAAGCAGAATATGCACGCCCCACCAAAGCAGAACTCGCACACTGTACCACTTCATCTCGTTCATCCAAATATGCACAAAGCCAGAAGCTTTCCTCGCTCACCAGCCAAAAATACCGGATATTTCCACAGCAGTAGCCGCTATCACAAACCTGCCGTCTTCCACGCATCCGTGCATTGGGGACACCGGCAGCTCAAAATGCCCCACCACAAACTGGCACCCTGGCGCAAAGAGCCCTGGAGGAATGGGAACGCACCCTGTGCGAAAACAAGGCGGTGGCAATTCTTGCACAGATGCAAGCCGGCCGGCAGGCCCTCATCCAGAAAGATGGCGGAGAAATGCGCATTGCCATTGTTTTTGACATGCCACTGGCGGAAGCGAAGGTACTAGTGGACGACCCTGCAGCTTTCACTCGCGAAATGACAGGATTCTGCTTGCAAAGCAAAGCCATCCACTTATCGCGCAAATGATCAAACCAGCAGGAAGTGGTGACCCACCCCCCTCAAGTAGCACAGCCAGTAGCACCGGCAGCCACGAACACCTCAGCGCCAGTCAGCCCCGTGCAGTTCCAGTAGTCTCACACGGTTAACGTGGGGTCCCACGGTTACCACATGACAGGGAACCACTGTGTAGATGGGTGTCACCATGGGGTACCCATGGTTGACTACTGCCTTGTGGAGCTGATTAGGTGGTAAGCTTGCCGTTGTAAGTATGGGAAGGGAGGAAGGGGGAGGGGGACAATTGTAACCTTTTTAATGGGCCACTATATAATCTGGTTACTGGTAGCGTAGGACGATGTCAAAGTACATCAAGCCATGGCGCCGGTTGCTGTTTTGCTCAGCTCAATCCAGTACCTTCACTGCTCGAATGCCGCCTGGCCATATGAGTCAGCCTGCCTGCCTCAAGAACCCCATAGTCACAATGAGGCACAAGATCTCCACTCTTACAAGTTACAAGACTATTATGGTTGCAAACTGTCGCATACCCAACGGATACTGGAAGACACTTGTGCCTTAATCAACGAGCAAGATTGCAGAGCCATACGCACGGCTTGCTATTGCCTAAAGAGTCTGCGCATCCGTGTAGAAGCCCGAGCCAATGTAACAGAACGTGCAGTCACAAGCCGACAGCTCCAGCTCATGCAAGCGAGCGTACAACACCACCCTACAGAGGACCCAACACTCGGCTGAACACTTCGATGACAGACCTGGTCTCTGTTCAGAGGAAAACGCTCGCATCCCTGTATCAATGTGTTCACTAGCTAGTCTTCCGTTGCTCAAGTTGTGGGTGATGCGAAGAGATAAAATCCAGAAACCCAAAAGAATATAAGACATATGTATTTCAAAATTAGAAACACGCATAACGTATCCAAAAGAGAAAGCCAACAGCAGCATGCTTTCTTTTGTACGCGTGGCGAACATTAGTCGTCGGACTAACATACATGTTGTGTACACAGCGGTGCAAAACAACGAGATTAAACACTTTGTGAAAACCAACGGGAAATCACAAACAGCGAAGGAGGGGTTTTTGGACAGCCATGCGTCAAAAACACCACAAAGGGGAACCAACGGGAACCCCACAAAGGAAGAGAAAAAACGGTAAACCCAGCGGGGTAACACAGGAACAACTGGGAAACACCAGGAGTAACCCAGAAAAGAAGGAGACTGAGAAGGGGATGGAGGTGGGAAAAGGAAAACGAAGTAGAACAGCGGTCTACACACCACCCCAACTTGACCCAAAATGGCAGCCATAAACCGGATCACCCTTGCAAAACAGGAAAACCAGAAACAACAAACAGGTTTCAGGTTTGACGAAAAAAGTGTTTTGCAAAAACAGAGGCCGGTTTCTAGCTAGTGAACAGAACCGATCAAGCTCGTGTACAGTTCACTAGCTAGTCTTCCGTTGCTCAAGTTGTGGGTGATGCGAAGAGATAAAATCCAGAAACCCAAAAGAATATAAGACATATGTATTTCAAAATTAGAAACACGCATAACGTATCCAAAAGAGAAAGCCAACAGCAGCATGCTTTCTTTTGTACGCGTGGCGAACATTAGTCGTCGGACTAACATACATGTTGTGTACACAGCGGTGCAAAACAACGAGATTAAACACTTTGTGAAAACCAACGGGAAATCACAAACAGCGAAGGAGGGGTTTTTGGACAGCCAAATAAACTCGAAAACATCGACCGAAGGATCAAAAACCCCAACTGAATCTCGATGTTCAAACATGTGAGAACGCCACTCTCTTTTGGACTCAGCGTGACAGCAAAGTGTGTGGAATCTTGGCTTGACTCGGTGCATACGTCGGAATCGAAGCACATAACCATTTCCAAGGAATTTCAATCCTAAGTGCTGCTGGACAGCAATGCAGGTCTCGACCGCGACTCAGCGCATCAGCTTCGTCATTCCATACTCCTGGGATGTGGTGGATGGCAATCTCAAGGTTATGGATACGTTGGAAACGGAAGAATGCAGCAAGAATTTGGCACATACCTGCCGAAGTGGATAATGCCTTCAGGTGTGCTGCTTCCGCTGAAGTATTATCACATGCAAATGTGACAGCAATTGGAGTTCGTCTCCCTGTGATAGAATGATGCAAGCAATACGCTAAGGAAAATTGGCCCAAGAGTTCCCACGCATTGATGTGCTTCTGCATCGAATCTGACAACCAAGGAAAAACTTCTTGGGCTTCAGCATAATCTATAGTGAAGGCAAACCAAGCAGCGACTTGTCCATTGATTCGCAAGATTCCGCCCAAACCAGCATTCTTTTCAGTTGCACACGCATCAGCGGATGCTTGGATAGGCATCTGCATAGGAGGAATCATGTTGTGCAGGAAAGGGGTACCAACAAGGACATCCTTCCATGCCTGAAGAGCTTCATGAGTGTCAGGCAAAACCTTGCGTTTGCTGGAACCAGGAAACTGAATACCTAACCAAATGCGGCGAGATTTGAAATGCAAGGATTGGGCATGAGCGCGATCTCGTAAATTAAAGTTGGCCGCACGCACCACTCGCACTGATTTTCTCAAGGATGGGTGTGCTAAATTTTTGGAAAGAGTTAAATCACCTTGCAATGCATCCAAAAGATCAGGCCACTGGTGAGGTGCAATTGAAACCAAAGTAATTGGAACCGTCATCATGGCTTGATACAGTGGTCCAAGGAGTGGCCTCAATGACTCCCATAAAGAGGAAACCCAGAGTAATCTGCCTGTAAGAGATTCCAAAATTTTCAAGTCGCAGCGGGAGACCTTCAGCAATGAATCAATTTGGTGAAGGATCTTCTCACGCTTGTCACAGGTAATAGAGACCACCCACCTGTGAACGTTGATGTTCCAACCTATCCATGTAACGGATGGCCCCCAGGCAGTTTTGTGCCAGGACATGGGTATGCCAAGGACCTGACAAGTGATGGTAAGGATACCAATCCAAATCGGTGAAGTAGCCGCTTCAAGCAGCACCAGTAAGTTATCAACATATTGGAAAAGTGCATGTCGTACATGTAGGATATGGTGAAATGTACGCACCATCAATCCAGCGACCCGGGACCAAAAATAGCCACTCGCTCTCGCACCAAAATTGAGTGTCAGGCTTTTGAACAACACATCTTGGTACCAGAAACAAAGTAATCCCTGATCTGCTGGTGCTATTTTAATACGTCGATGTGCCTTTGAGACATCCAATGTGAAAGCAGTTAAATCAAGTCCAGAGCTGGTCAAGGGAGCGGCCTGCAGGACATCGGAAATCTTTGGCAGCAGCATTCTGTTGGGGATGGAAGTGTTTTGAGTGACCCCTGAAACCGTCGAGTCAACAACCAGGCGAGGGGCCCTGTTCTCGGCACATACCAAACCCAATTTTCCAACGGCAGTATGGGCATGATCAGTTTGCAATTGGGCCAGGCCACCAGGCACCCTTTCAATAAAACCAGCATCAATCTCTTCTTGAAGAAGCTGCCATACCACATCTGGCTGGTCCAGGGCACTCTTCCAAGAGGATTCGCACTGGACAAGATCTTGGTCATCTGAAACAGTGGAGGGTTGCACAGGCCACAATGGTGAGGCCAGGATGTCATTATGGACGCCCAAGCGAACCCCTGTGTTCAATTCGTCCAAGAAATTGACGTCTGGATCATTCATCTCGCGCAACAGCAACTTCCAAAGCTCCAAACGAAACGGTTGGCCTGGGGAAATGTGTAAACAATCCTTCCATGCAGACTCTGGCAAATGCAAAAAATCACGCACATCGTCAAGAAAACCTTGCAGCTGGGCTTCAGATAAGGGCGCCTCTTTGGAGCCAGTCGCAAATTGTGCAATCATATGTTTGTGCAACCCAGTTTTGAGGAGTCTGGCAGTCCAACGCTTCCGCAGTCCCCCCAAAAAATCCGGGGCTTGGGGAGTATGCCAAATAGCTGTGCTGATCAGGCCACCACCATCTTCAACTCTTTGGTTTTGAAGTTGTGCTGGAAACTCTGAAGGCAAACAGGATTTCCATTGATCCAGGTTTAACAATGTAGCCCGCTTTGACAAAAAAGGTGCAAACACGTTCGCCAAGGCCTCGGCCAACTTTTGAGGATAACAGGCTGTCAGCCTACTATAAAAGGTGCCGTCAGGTAGTCGCAAGCCAGCAAAATTCAAATGAGTGTGAGGAGGATGGTTACAGCCCAATCCAATCGCCAAGATGTCGGGACGATTAGAACAAAACAGCCATGATTTTTGCCAATCTGCCCCAAATTGGCATGCTGCAGCAGCTGCAAGATAAGGGGCAATGGCCCTAACCCATGCACTCATCAAAGAATCAAGCCAGGTCATACTGGTCAATGGGTTCTCGATCACAACAATGCCCCCCTTTGATGCAACCAATGTCAAGATATGACGCGCTCGGTCGTGCACAGCTGCGGATTCTTGTACCTCCAAATCCTGCAATGCGGAGTTGTTTGGCAGACCGTCCAGTGCAGCTGGAGTGCGGACCGGCTTAGGTCCATTTGGTCGAAGGGTAGCCATGGAGTGCTTTGAACAATATGGAGCAGCTAGTGCTGCACCTACAAGACCAGAAGCAGCCAGGTTTGAAACATTCTGGAAAACAAAATCGTCAAGCAAGTCACAATGTTGGCCAAAAATCAAGTCCACAGGTTCAACAGAATCGGCATGCAATGCTCTCACCGCCACTGAGACTGGTGATGAGGCACCGGAAAAAATGTCCAAAAAATATGCAAAAGGTTTTGGCATCTGATCCACAACAACGTCATTGGAGGCTGAAACCCTAGGGCTCTCACGCAATGAAAAATCGCCTGGAGGCGGCTCCAATGCTACCGGTGCAGGGATCTCAACTTCCTTTGGTCAGTGAGGAGCACCTTTATGCGATTTTGCCGGATGCTTTTGCGCACACGGGGATCCATCAGCCTTGGGGATCGGGCAAATGTGGAGAAACCTGCATGCATCACCACTGCCACACTTGGAAACGTTCCATCGCATGCAAATGCCTTTGCCATTATGTTTTCGTACCCAGTTATCATTCCAGTCCTTTAAGCGATCATCCTTTTTGACCGGTGTAGGCGTCCCTGTCTTCTTGGGAGGCGGCTTCGGGTCAATCTTTTTGGGAGTGACCGGAGGTTGATGGGCACGAGGACGTGGCTGTTCTGCAGTCTGCATATCCTGTCGGCAGTACGCTCTGACATGGTGTCACTTAATGACCAGCTGTTATCCCGCATAGCTGATGTAACTGCAAGCCAAACAGATTTAGCCAAGACCTCCTGCAAATTCGGGGGGCGCAAGGATGAATCCACCGGAACCGCCAGTGCAAGTTCATTGAACTTATGATGAAACTTCTTGGCAACGATCAAATGGACCAACTGCAACATCGCAAGTGCATTTGCAAGGAGTGTCTGAAAACGCAGCAGCACTGGCTCCACAGGGCCACCTGAAGGAACATTTGCTTCAGGAAAATCCATAAGATCTTGTTGATTGAGCATTCGTTGAAGAAGCTGATGATCAGAACGCGGTTTCCGATTCTCTTGAAAAAGCATTTCTGCATGTTCTGAAATCCTATGGCGCCAGGAGGTCCATGTCCAGGTGCCGGAATCAATCTGATCTTTGAGGTTTGCCAAAAACATGTAACTAGGCGTGGACTCAGGTGTCAGCAGTTCTCCCGGAAAGTGCTCAGCAAATTTGATCTTCAGTTCCTTGTATTCTGCCAGGGAAAGCTTAGGCCTGGTTGAGTTGGCCAGGACAGGTTCGCTGGGCAGACTACCACCTTTGAACTGGATGCACCAGGTGACAGTAGTCATCAAGGGTGGACCCCAGTAGAGGAACTTATAGGCACACATGCCATTAACCCCAAAGCCATGTCCAAAGCTAACCATCGGCTTGCCCTCTTCGCCACACCTGCTCATTCTGTAGTGCAAAGAAGCTTTGCCAATAACTGTTTTATTCTGTCCCTTAATATTTACCAGAGTACATACTTTGGCTTCACTCCGGACGACATCAATTTATAGCAACAACGCTCTGCGAAACTTATTCTTGGCAGACCATGGCTGGCCGCACGGTACCTCCCACACATATTTCGGTGGTTAGGTATTGCTCCTGCACTAGACCCAGCGGTCACACTCACCGCAGCGTGCTTGGGTTATTGGCTTAGACAGAATGGCTCTACCGCCTTTCTCTCACCGGGGTACCCGGATGTAGGGACAAGGCAAGGAGCGGTTGTCCAACGCATTTTCCGCACATGGATTCCCCTGCTCGGAATTGTCGGCAACTTGTTACTTTTTTTTTTTCCTCTGGTTTGGCCGATTCGCACTAGGCACGGTCCTTACAATTGCGTAAGCAGTGAAAAGCAGTAGTGTACAGGACTCTTGTGGTCCAAAAATCTCCGGCAAATCATCACGAGAAAAAAAACAAACAACAAGAACCACAACCAAAAACGATCCGCAAATCCCCCAGCCAGATTTGCGTTTCGCCACAAAGCAAGACAGCGAAGCAACAAAGAAAGGGGCAGGGCCCAACAAGAACCAAAACAAAAAACTCTCAGATTTGCCTTGGATACAGCGACCTTAGCCACTGTATCATCCTCAAAAACATGCAAACTAATTAATTGCGGCGGTGCATGAAGTGTTGTACCTGATTGCCCAGACCGTCTTACCTGAAAACAGCAAAGGGAGTCCAATATTGAGGCAGACTGATGTGTGGTTCGACAGAGGCCGCCTGTATGAACGATTTGTCAATAAATCAACTTCCGCATCTCTGCTGTTCACCCTGTATTGTCCAGCGTCTGCCAGGCAGTCTGTTCCTGTCAGTATACACCACCGCAAGGGACTGTAATCTATTTCCCCCCAAAACGGGGAGGAGAGCACTGACAGCCTGCAACATGGTGTGAGCACTTGCAGAAACCGTCACGTGACTTGTGCCCAAGACCCTAAGGGCCGTGGGTGAAAAAGTGGCTAAAGGCCTGACCGGCTCAGTACGGCCATGACAGACAAATGATGTTTCGACCATAACATGGGCTCGTGAGCACTTCCAGTCTGATACTGCAGGTAGGTATACAAAAGTCGCATTCGCATTGCTGTAAGTCTTGTGCACTAAAACGATCAAAGATGAGGTGGTTCGGTGCGCCAGCACCAGATACTCAGACAGAAGTCACTGGGCGTCATCGTCCCAGCAAGTTCCGCGGAGAGGACCGGGTGCACAGGAAGGCATCTGTATATTCCAGACAAAGCGACTCTCCCATCGAGTGGGCCATAGGCCATAGAATACAGAAAATCCGCACAACGAACCATGTGGGCAGGCTTTGCTGCACTCGGGCGCTCCAGACTGAACTGCAGGAAGCACAACTGGACAGCGCCAGTGAAGCTCACTGCAGTGCAGGCTCTACCAGGAATCTACCGCCCTCAAGAAAACACACAGGAAACAAAACACAGCATCCCAATACAGCCAAAGAGGAAGCCACCAGACAAATTCAACACAGACAAACAAACAAACAAACGAATTCAACAGGGGATCAACTCAACCAAAAGGGGGGACGGTGAGAAAAGCTGTCCCACCTCGGATAAATCCTTAGTCACTACCGGATACGATCAATGTAACCATGGTGAAAAAATGGGTGACTGTACAGAGCTGTAACCTCGGTATCCGGGCAACAGAGAAGGCAAAAACAACACACGCCCAAACAAAGCGAAACCTGCCATCAAGGGGGAAGCAAAGAGGGGGGAGCGGCCAAAGTACAACCCATGCAAAACAACAAGCCAACAGAGGAAACGAGGAGAGGAGCCAGAAGGCAGCAGAGGACAGACAGAGAAAGGACGCACTAGAAGGGGTATGAATACCTCAGTGAGGGAGCACACAGCACCCCAACAACACATGAAGCATGGTGTAGAGGGAAAGATCCCCACACAGGGCCAAGGCCTTTGCTGCCATGAGACATGATGAGGAGGGGAAACAGTGCGCAACAAACACTCCACGCGCAGAGGCATGGCAACCAGGCCGTCGCCGGAAGCAACGATGCCCAGAGGGAGGGACCAGTAATTGCAGGACACAACACCAGGAAACAACACTTCCAATTCCTCCGCCAGCTTAAACTCAGACTTCACGAAGCCATCCAAGTGCATGCACTGCAATATCTACAGTCTAGAGTTAGCTTGCAGCTTCTACCAGGCGGGTATCATGGGCTTGGTTGACCCATTTAGCCACAGTGCCTAAACTTGCTGTTAATGGAGTTGCAGCTTTGCTGTCTTGCGGTGGGCGGTGAATGAGGATAACGATGAATGCCTGAGGCTTCGACTTGCAGGCTCACTGCAGGCTGAGCAGCCATGCCAACTCTGTGGAATTCCTACCCGGCTGTACCCACGTGGACTCAATTTTGCACCAGCTTGTGAGAAATGCTGCCATGACCATAATATTCACGCTACCACTCTACAGCGGTGAGAGATGGGGGATCCCAACCGCATCCCCCTGGCATGCCATCGCAGAATCTGCTCGGGGATCTTTTCATATTCCTGCCTCATGGCGTGACCGTGCACGAGATCTAGCCCCCTGTGTAGCGTGCGGACATGGTTCCTCTCAACATTGGGCTCGTTTCTGCATAGTGCCTGTCCTAGTTGCCAACGTCTTGTCATCTTCCCCCAATCCAGTGAAATCGTTGGATCAACTAGCCCGAGTCAACACAGCTGGATGCGTGATCGCGAGCCACATTCTGCATCAGTTCCGCCGACTCTTGCTTGAGCATGGAGGCATGCAACATGCGCCATCTTCAGTTCCCCTAAGCGTCCCTGAATGCTAACCCGCCTACATAACAATGCTCTACAAGCAATCCCAACTCGTTTCCTCCCGGAACTTGTCTCTCCCGTCAGACCCCAGAGAGCAGGCGCCGACAACCCAAACCATCCTTGCTACATGCAAACCGCCGCCAACGAAGCAGTTACTCTCCACTCTGCAGCGCTTCCTAATCTAGTTTGCACAGCTACTACACTCATCGCCCCGGATCAGCTTATCGCTGTGCTCCCCCTTGGACATCCATGGCTTAGCTTCATTGCCCCAGCTCGAGCCCGGATCGCTGGATTCCGCCCTAATGCTAAAATTGTACCAGCCTGCCCCAACTCGCCTGATTCCTTCTGTACTGTGACAGCTCTTCAACCCATTAGTCCTACAGAGGAGGCCTGCACATGCGAAGCCTGATTTCAATTGACTTTCCGGCCCAGAAATGGAACCTGAAAGCGCACATGTGGTATCAGCTGTCTCCGTTCCCTAGCTCCAATGTGGCGATTTGCGATGCAGCACCACCCAGGCAACATTCACCAATCCTTCGCTACTCCGCGCTACTCCGCTACTCCGTGCTATGTTTTATTTCAAGTGCCCAATGTAATTGACACGATATCGAAGCGATGGCGGAATAAGAAAGCCTTCAATACTTCACTTTCCCACATCTTTTCCTAAGCAGATTCCTACTCCATCCCGTTTTAAATTAATACTATTAATTAATAACGGGATTGACTGAAAAGATCATGATTCATGTTCTTTCTGGGCTGAAAACTTCGGTAGGAGTCTAGAGGGGCAAGGGGGGCCAACAAGGGGCAGTAGAGTATTCAATACAATCATTTAAATGGAAGCCGGCCACCTGCGCGAAAACCCACAAACTCCGCAACGCCAAGAAACACCTCAAGCAATCACCTAAGGGCTGCAAAAGGCTGATGAGCCTTCTTTTAGCGGCAAACAATCAAGCCACCAGACGCAACGAAATAATAAGAAGCTAACTTCAAGTGGGTTCAAGCAGCAACCGATATGCACCCCGCTTGCCCCAACAAGAAACAAAACCATCTACAAAACAGCTTGCTCCGACGGACCCAATTCTGGGTCCGGAAAACCTTCTCAAAACCGGCTTCGCTCAAAAGGGCCTCCCTAGTTGCCCTTCCGGTCGCCATAAGCCACAAAGTTTCATTGAAACCAAAACGTTGCGCTTCTGCAACCCTGATACAAAAAACTTCAAAAAATGAACCTAAACACGGTCCCAAAAATGGGACCGCCTGGCGGTCCCATTTTTGGGACCGCATGCACAACTTAGTAAAAGAACAAAAGAAAAGCACTTTCACGGTCCCATTTTTGGGACCGTCTGGCGGTACCAAAAATGAGACCGCAAAATCGCAAAATCCACAGCAAAGGCCGACCCTTGCAACAAACAAAAAATTGCAACTGCATTTATTTAAGCAACCAGCATATAGATTTGGAACAGAGGAGGCCCGCACATGCGAAGCCTGATTTCAATTGACTTCCGGCCCCAGAAATGGAACCTGAAAGCGCACATGTGGTATCAGCTGTCTCCGTTCCCTAGCTCCAATGTGGCGATTTGCGATGCAGCACCACCCAGGCAACATTCACCAATCCTTCGCACCTCCGCGCTACTCCGCTACTCCGTGCTATGTTTTAATTCAAGTGCCCAATGTAATTGACACGATATCGAAAGGATGGCGGAGTAAGAAAGCCTTCAATACTTCACTTTCCCACATCTTTTCCTAAGCAGATTCCTACTCCATCCCGTTTTAAATTAAT